GGCTTGGGAGTGCGTGGGGAACTTTGTTCAGGTGGGTTTTTTCCATAGCTGGGTTGTTGGTTGGTTTTTTTCTTTTCCTTTTAATGGTTAATTAAGTAAATATATATATATATGGGGACCAATCGAGAGATACAATTGTGAAATCAGACACGCACGCGGGGATGGGAGGGGGCAAGGGGGTCACAAGTTGCTACATAAAACTGCCACGTCTAACAGGATGTGCATGAGTTAAAGTACATCAATTAGAAGGGGTGAGGGGAAAGGGGGCAGCCGCCACCTTCAAGACAGTCCCAAGGACGCAGTGTCATTGCTCTGGGCCGTGCTGGCTCTCCCCACAGGGCTCGGTGGGGTCACGGTGGTGACTGTGGTCTTGGAAACAGCCTCCCGGTGCTTTGCACCTCACGGGGAAGCACAGCCACCACCTCACAAACAGTCTGCGGTGCTTTGCACCCCGATGGCTGGGACAGGGCTCCGCATCGGAAGGGATGCTGGAGAGTGGGAAGCCGCTCCGGCTAACGGGAGAAAGTTCCACGTTGCTTTTCCATATCTCTAAGCAGTATCTTACACCTAAAAGGGGGGTGGGGTGTGAGGAGGCATCTTGGACAAAAGGCTCTGTTGGGTTGTGAGTTCCTCCTCACAGAAGCAGGAAAGGCGGCAGCATCATGTACATGAAGTCCTGCGATGCTCTGCGCTTCTTATTTAATGCAACTGTTCCCCCGAAACAAAGGATGGAGCTGCTGCCACCCTGAATTCATGTCAGTCTCCGTCGTTTTGAGCTCTGTGCAAAGCCAATGCCAGCTCATCCAGAGCTCTGCTGAAATCATGTACCGATCAGTTCATGTCCGTTAGTGGTGTTTCAGTCCCTCCCCATTTTCTGTCCTCTGCTCTGTGCTCCCAGGATGCCATCCTGTACTGTTCTTCCATCTTCTCTGGCACTCTACTGCATGGTGGGATCAGGATGTGTCACTGCAGCTTCCCCTCCCCCAGGATTTGGTTGACTGATTGCTCCTCTTGAGAGAAAGACATGATGATGTCACGCCGACAGTACAAGTCCATTTAAAGGGGTTTGTCACTTTCTTTCTTCAGGTGGCTGGAAGAAAGAAGAGGAACAAGGTGATTTTGAGAGAGAAAAAGGCAATTCGGTATCTCCCACTGCCTTCTGTTAGTCTAGACCCACCCAACACCGCTGGCTTGGAAGGTTTTTCACATCCTTGAAATAGGACATGCTATTGAAAAGGAACAACACTGCACCTCTCTCTTTCCCAATGTGCTTCCCCGTGCGCTTGTGAAAGCCTCATCTTGGCAAAAGCATCCAACCCTTGCAAAGGTTTGGTATTTTGGCAGGGGTACCAGTTAGTGGTAACTGTATTAGCATGTCTGGAACATGCCAGTTTATTCCCTCCCCAGAGGGGAGGAGATGAGACACCCCCAACATTAGCCATGGAACAGCCACTTGCCAAGAATGACCTTCCTGGTGGCCAACACACAGCTGTGCCCCAGGGGCACAGATCCCTGCTCCCGGGTGTGGGCTCGGGCTCGGGCTCAGCCAGGGGCAACACTTCCCTGTCCCCACCACCTCTGCCCCCCCAGGCCAGCATTGGGCCAGAAGATGTGCTGGTGAGGACAGTGTGTCCGCTCGCCCTACAGTGCGGAGAGAGCAGGTCCATGCACCTGTAGTAATCCTCCTGCGTTGGGAGCGGCACGCCGTGCAGCGGGTGATGCGCATGGAGCCACTGCTGCTGTTCCAGAGCCAGGCGCTGCAGCTCAGCTGACTGTGCATGCATGGCCTGGAGCTGATGTGCTGCAGACATGGGCGCTGAGAGGGAGCCTGGCAGGTCCCTGTAGGGTGCAGCTGCAGCCAAAGATGAAACAGAGAATAAACAAGTTAACGTAATGGCTCCATCCTCACCCGTGGCCCTTCAGTTCAGTCAAGACTCTACTGTGCATCCTTTTCCAGCCCTGCCCATGTGCAGGACTTGCTCATTCCCCAGTAATGTAAGCCTGTTCTATGCCATGCCAAAGCTCTGCTTAATAGAACTCAGTTTGGTCCTGTAACCCCCTCATGATCACCCTGCCCCTTAGAGCTCTGCTGATGTTCTTTAAAGGAGACCAGCAGCCCCTGTGAGCATCCCCTACCAAAAAGCTGGTGGCGCAGCACTTCATTCTCATGTAGAGGGTGAGGAAGGAGAGGGTTTGGGATGGTTCCAGCCGGGTATGGTATCCGGGTCAGGTGTGATCCTGAGGCGAGTGGGTCGATAAGAGGGTGAACGGAGGCCGAGGCTGGGAAGAGAAGATACCACAAGGTAATTGTTCCATGCTTTGTAAGAGGCAACACAGAGAAAGGTGCAACAAAACAGACATGGACTGTGTTAGGGATGGAATGATTTCAAGGCTAGAAACACAGTACAATGTCCTTCCAAGGGCTACTCTTTTTGCCTGCATTGAATCTCATGTGAATCAGCCTGGCACAGCTCTGTCCCTACACTCCTTAGGGAGAAGTATGGCTCCATAACATCAGTTCTGCAAGGACCTGCTCTGCAATCACGTCCATACCCAGTCCTGTGGCTATCTGCCAGCCTGGCTGTCATTCACGTGCCTCCTCAGATTGGGTGCTTCCATTTCCAGGTCTCATCCAGCACAGAGGCTCAGTGCCAGGCATTCACATTTGCAAGTACTTTCTGAGGCTGCAGTGTAAGGTACTATCTGAAATCATATCTACTATATGAAAACTACTCTTCCCAGTGTTTTGGACTCACTGCCAGAGCGCTGTCTGCAGGTGCCCAGCTCCAGAGCACGGGGGGAAGGACCTTGGTTTGTACCTGATGCCATCTCTGAGTAGCTGCAGCTGCTTCGACTAGGTGTCTGTCAGTGTCTCTGCCACCAGACCCCACTGACTGCTCACAGTACCTGCATGGGCATGGCACTTTTCCCTCTTGTACTGTAGTTTGGGCTTTGCTTCCCCAAGATTTTCACCCCTAAGCTTCTTTGTGCTTTCCTGAGGAGGTGGAAACGGAAGAGATCACCACCTCAATTCTGAAGGACAGCAGCCTCCAGTTGCTTACAATTAGTCCACCTTCTATACCATCTCATCCCATCCCACCATCTCCAGCAAGAGCCACAGGAGCAAACTGGAGAACCAGCATTTCATTAGTCCTAAGGATACTGTTGGAACCCATTGTTAGGAGGGCTCCCACTCCCTCTGCAGACCACAGTGTGAGGGGTGCAGTCCGCAGCACCACCAGCCCCCTGGTAGGCAGTGGGACCCTAGCACTCATACTGCATCCCCAGAGATCCAAAACTGAAGGACATGGTGCAAACAGCTCTGCTTGCCACTAAGCAGCAAACTCACACATGCCCCAACACTTGCAACAGGTATCAACGTCTTTGGTGGGATGGGAGCTAGGGCAAAGCTGAATGACCATGGTGTTGACCTCTTCTGGCTTAAAAGATGGATCTGGCCTCTGAAAGTCTAGTCTCTGCAGCTTCTGGGCTTCCCTAGGGCCAGAGGGAGGAAGTGCAAGGAGGGTTTAGTAGGAGAGGGAGTGGGGCTTTGTGCAGGGCACCACCGCCATGGTCCTCACCTGCGTGTATGGCATCCTGCTGGTGGAGATGGAGGTGGGAGTGGATGTGGGAATGCTGATGATGATGAGGTGTCACATTGAGCATCTGCAGCCGGGCCAGAGGGTCATTGCTGAGAGCAGCCACCCGCTCAGCATGCTGGCGCTCAGCCGCCAAGCGCTCGGCATAGGACATGTCAGGACGAAGGGGCGGGCCAGCTGCCAGCGCCAGCCCCT